TGTTTTCTGGCCAACTTCCTTTATTTACTTCTTGCTTGGTCCCTACAGGCATCTGAGTTATAATTCTTCCTCCAACATGTTACGGGGGATATATATCCAACTTTGGGTTTTAAATTTTTGGCTCTAAGGATTAGACCACATCGGGCAATTGACAAGCATAAAAATGGCATTAAATAGATGTTAGCCTTCTTAGTAGTAGTAGTTTTATGTAAAAAGATTATAGAATTCAGAGTTCATAAATTATACTGCCAAAACGAACTGAATAAAAGTGGGCCCTCTATGTAATTAATGTGGGAGAAGGAATTCATTCAAAAACTTACAATCACACACTTGTAACTTGAACTTCTGCAGTATGCGAAGATATGAAAAACAAGTTGTGAAATGTATCCCCCTGCTCAGAAATGCTTTTACAGTGGCAATTTAGCTTTGTTAGTTGGCCTAAGGAATTTTGAAAGCTTCCTGCAAAAAACCGCACACTGTTATAAAAGTCTATGCAAATTTAGGTAGGACTTAGGGAGACTTAACATCTTTTAGGTTTTGCTTCTCTTATAATGTGGGCTCCCAGAAGCTCAAGGCTGTTTTCTGCAAAGGATGGCACCTTGGATTCTTTCAGCTACCTGGGATTTACTAGTTATTAAATAATATGAATATTTCCCTGCCAAAAAGTGTGAAGAAAATGGAAGGGTCGAAGTGCAATGGTGTTTGAGGTGGAGAGGAAGACCTACTAAAGCCCCCTCTAAATTGTCTCATGGGAAAAGAATATTTTATCTGCTATGGGCTGAATGTTTGTATTCCCGCTCCACAATTCTTACATTGAAGCCCTAATCCTCAGTGTGATGGGAGATGATTAGGCCATAAGGGTGGAGCCCTCATGGATGGGATTAGTGTCCTTATTAGAAGAGACAGGAGAGGACACAGCAGAAGGAGGTCATCTGCAAACCAGAGACCGGGGTTCTCATCAGACACTGAATCTGCTGCACCTTGATCTTGGACTTGCAGACTCCAGAACTGTGAGGAATTAATGTTTGCCTTTTAAGCCACCTGCTCTGTGGCAATTTGCTATAGAAGCCCAAGCTAGGACACCATCTTAGACACTTTTTTGATTAAGCAGATAGGCCTGTTACCTGACCTGAATCAGTTTGTACTGAAAGGTTTATATAAGGAAACCAGCAGACCACTCTGCTCAGTATTAGGTAGGTCAAGTTCTAAAGAATTGAGGATCACGCTTAGTAGCTGTCTAAGTAACCAGTATAGTGACACTGTCCAAACTAGATGGAGATTGTCATAACATTCCATGTGCTGCCACTGCATTTCATGCACTGAGGAGAACTTGTTTGCTTATTGAAGTCTTTAATATTTCACACAGAATAATGCAGTTCTAGACTCAGATGATTTGGTCTAAAATACTGGCTCTGCTGCTCTCTGACTCTGGGACATTAATTCAATTGCTTAACCTCTCTAATCCCTTATTTCTTCACATGCAAAATAGGAACTTAAATAGAATTTACCTTATAGGGTTGAGAGTATTAAATGAGATAATAAATCTAAAGTGCTGAGCACAGCATCTGGAAAGTGCTGAGCATGAAAAAATTCTAGTTGCCATTATCATTATTATCTGTCACAGTATATTTCCTGCTCATGCCTCAAGGAAATAGTAAATGAGGATGAGGCCAAAAATTTTAAGTTTCCAAGTAGTCCAAAGGCCACTAAAATGCCTGACTCAATGATAGAGATCCAGTTTAAATGGAAGGAAAAATCTGCTGAATGATGCCTTACCATACGGGTACCAACTCCGTTCCTAATAATTAAAGTAATTTAGATTGTATTCTCTCGTATTTCCTTTTCTCTCTGCTTTTCTGTTCCCTTTCCATATTCTAGGTCATTGCCAATGACCAACAAAACTGAAATCACTAGTTTAAATAGCTCTTGTCTCCCACATCCCACACTTATAAAAACCTGTAGCAAATTTCCCCTATGGGCAATGAAAGGAATTCCACCGAATGGAATTGTTCATGAAATTTAGGAGCAAACAGTCTTTGAAGTGACCTCAATATCAGCAAATCCATTAAGCCATCAGTTCAATAACATAGGGATGCTTATTAGGCAAGAGAAGGCCAACTTCCTCAAAGGAGCACGCACTGTTAAAGAAACGACATAGTTCCAGGCCATGCTGCAGCTTAATATGTGGAGTGATTCAAGCATCTATCACTCAAGTCCAGCTCTGTAGCACATGCCTTGGTTTGAGGCTTGGGTCAGAATATAAAGAAGTGGGAACTCAAGATTAGTTTAAAAGAACTCAGAGGTCCTTTGAAGAAATGAAGTTTCTCTGGCTTTCACTGTCCTGAATGGAAGAGACACCCATTATCTGTCCAGTGGCAGCAGCTCTATAGTGATGCATCTTAGAAAGGAATGAGGTATTGCATTTTCTGCTGTTCTCTGTGAGCAGAGGATGGAGAGCGGGTCGGTGTCTGAGTGCTGTGAAGTTTTTCAACCTATCCTAAAATTCCTGAGGCCACCGGCTGCTGCTCTCTTCAGCTTATAACTAGCTCTTATAAGTTTTCCCGATCACTGTCAAGAGACCTCTTCTTATGGGTAAAAAGGAAAACAATAACTATGTCAGAAGTAGGCCATGGAGCAGAGTTTACATAATAGGGAGAAAGTGAGAAGAGCTCTGTCTCTAAGGGCCGGATGAGTGGTTTAGAGCTTGTCAGCATCTCCCTCCATGCACTCTATGGGGCAAACTATATGCCAGTGACCCAGGGAATTTCAGGACCTAGAGGCTAAGATTGTGAGCTGGTCTTCAAAAGTCAGGCTATGGCCCACTTGTGTAGATAAATCATATGATGAAACAATTTCTAAATGGGTGAAGCTTTGTTATGCTTTTGAAGTAGGTGTTAGAAATTCAGATTACAAATCAGTGACAACAGATCCCAAAGGGATTCTATGTTTTAATTTTATTTCTAACCAATTAAAATACAGATACTGTTGCCTGGAAGCAATTTCTAAGTAATGGTTTTGGTGGTGAAGAATTCACTGGTCCATAACACAAAATAGTAGCTTTAAGTTTTCATCAGAAAGCTAAAAGAAAACAAAAACAAAAACAAACAAACAGGCAAACTAAACTACACACAAAATATCAGAACACTATACCTTTGCATGTTTCTTCTTTAAAGAATTTAGCTCTTTCTGTTGTTTCTTTAAATGCTTCAAGTAAGCCTGTGGGAGAAACAAAGAGGATCCAAAATGTGTTTTGCAGTCACGATGATTATACTCGGTGAGAAACAAAAATACATTGGTCTCACCAGTATGTATAACACAAGAGTGCTTGGGAAATAACTGAACAATTTTACCTTCATCTGCTTTAGATCTTCTATCCTTACTTGAGGGATGAGTTCAATACCTTTTAAAAAAAGATTAGACATTGTGTATATTAAAAGGTAGAGAGAATATCTGCTAATTGAAAATTCAGTTTTGAAATTTCACCTGAGTGTAATGTTATAGATATAAACATCTTCATTTCTTATTACAAAACAATTAACTAGACACTTAACTGAAATGCTTATTGTCTTAGGTTGTGTTTCCTACAAGCAGAGCCTGAGATGGGGATTTGTGTGCACATGATTTATTGAGGGAAGGCTCTCCGGAGAAACCCCTACGGGGGTGAGAAAAGCAAGACAGGGCCAATGAAGCAGCTAGGGTGTCTTTTCAGAGCTATTGAGCTCCAGGTGCCTCAGTGGTAACAAGCTTGAAAACACTCTGATTATTGGCTATCTTTTCTTCTTTGTATCACTTCTCCGCACCCGTACCTGTGTCCACTGTACACCCCCAACCCCAATAAACTACCTGTACTTGAAACTTTATCTCAGGTTCTGTTTCAGGGTGACCCAAATTAAGACAGTTCTCTAGAGAGAAAATGGAAGTTTGCCTTCTCAAATGACATCTCGTCCCACAAAGGCCACCAGAATAGAGTTTATTTCCCGATTCTCCCCACACCCAGCTCCCTGATTCCTAGAGAAGAGTGGGAAGAACACCTAGAAATTTCTCCCTTGTACTTCTATACCATTCTCCTCAATGCTACCAAGCAAAAGGACAGGCCCCTCACTTAGGCGAGGTTCTGCTGAGCCTGCGACCTCCACACGCGTCCTTCTAGGTTGTACATTCGCCTGCTCCATGAACTTCAGCATCTGGCTCATGGTTTTCTTATGTAAGCATTCCTAAGCCTCCCCCAGAGAGATTCAGTATCCATGAGAAGAGTCCATTTCATTATTTTCCTTCTCATTTCTATGATGCATTCCATTCCAGAAATCTTCTCTACTTTACCTCACCTCCCACTGACAGCTATAAATGGTATGTTAACACTGTTTGAAACTGTCCTTCCTCCAAGACCTGTTGCTTAGAAGTGCCTCTTTCTGACCACAATCCCATACTGTCAACTTTACTCACTCCCTCACATCTTCTTACCCTCATCTGTTCCTTGCTCCTTTAACCTTTTCCTTTTCTAGCATAGCTCTTCCCTCTAGTATCACCCCTACTTGATTATTAACCTGGATATTATGATCAATGTGGTAGACTGATTGAAAAAATGGCCCAAATCCTTTACTTTCCCTGTTTCCATACCTTTCGTCAAGTGACTTTGGAGGTCCTCCTATCAAGATGTGGTGTCTGTTTCCCCAACCCTTGAATCTGGGCTTGGCTATGTGACTTGCTTGTTGAAGGAAATGTAGTAGAAAGGACTTTGTGCCACTTCTAAGCCTAGGACTCAATGGGCCTTCCACACTCCTGTTCTCCATCTTAGAACCTTGCCACTGCCATGTGAACAAGCCCAGGCTAGCCTGATGGAAGATGAAAGTCCACATGGGAGAGAGTCCACTTGTCCAGCCAACATCACCTTAGATCAACCTAAAGCTCACTAAACCCTAAACATGAGTGAGTACAGCTAAGATCAGCAGTGTTGCCTGTTCAACTCAGTGGTACTAACCAAGCCATGACTAGAAAACCGCCCAGATAACCTCATGAGCAATAATTCTCATCCAACCCACCAGTCAACCTCAAATGCATGGGCAAGACATGCAGAGATCAGCCAAACCAGCTCAGACCAACCAACCGAATGAAACATAACCTCAATAAGTGATGGTTGTTTTAAGCCAATAAAACTTGAGGTCATGCATTATGCAGCATATGCTAACTGATACACCTTCTGTCAAGAGTTCTTTCCTTCTACCCTGAGACTTCTCTTCACTCATCTTTCTTCTTGGCTTGGACAGAACATCTCTCTTCCCTCTTTATGCAGCAGGATCGCTCCCTTTCCCTTAACTCAGCTCTTCCCCAGAGGCTTGTTTCAATATAGTCCTTTCATGCATTTTCCTTCTCTTTCTTTTCATTGGTTCGTATCAGCATGCTACTGTCCTCATAACGACCATTTTATGTCTTAAATCATCAAATTTTTCTAACCCGATTTCCACCTTCATCATCAAAGCATGTCTAATTCAACATTAATTTGTCAGTCTTAACTTTTATAGACTATCCATAATACCTTCTCAAAACTCATTCTTCCTATAACATAGATCTCTGTTTTTTTCTATTCATTCTACCTTTCCAAGCATTCTCATTCTCATTCTTATTCCCTCCTTCCCTCCCTCCCTCTCTTCCTCCTCCTTCCTCTAGACCTACCACAGCTCTGCTGTCACATGATTCTACTCAGGTGTGTCATCAACAACTTGAACTTGATGATATCCAGGACCGGAATCATCTCACCAAAAGCAGTTCCACCTCTTCACTTCTCTACTCTCAATGGCATCATCTATGTGTGACCTGTCTGTCCTTAAAGTCTCTGAATAACCACTGACCCTCATCCTCCCTAAGGCCCAATAAGTTACCAACTTATTTCTATTCTTCCTTCTCTTCCTTCTTTCCCGTTAAATACTTTCCACTTAATCCAGATCCTCCTAGCCAATAGCATGGGTCATTCATTAATCAGCCATTTACTTCCTAAGAAAAGAGACTGTTAGATCTTTACTAGGCATGGTTCCAAAGACACATTGATGAAGGAGGTGAGGTCTTACCTGCAATGACCCCTTTCTCTGGTTGTTATCACATTATATAAATATAATATAAATATATAATGTGATAAGTGTTATAATAGCAGCATGACTACCATAATTCTTAACTGGCCCTTAGCATCTGTCTCCCGTTTTCAATTAGTTCGTCTGCTAAGACTATATTAATCTTCTTAAAACACTCCTTTGATTGTCATTCTCCATTGCCTTTTCCAGTGATCCTAGAACCCTATCCAGACCAGGATAAATGAACTACTCACCACTACCTATCAGCACGCGGCCTGCCCCATTTTCCTACATCTAGGTTGCTTCCTATGTTGCTTCTTCCCAGGCTGCCTTCTCTTGGCCCCTCTGCTTTCTCTTCCTGTTCAAGTCAGGCCTATGTTTCAAGGCCCAGCTCAGTTGGGATCTCATCCATAAGTTTTCTCTGGGATCGTTGCTGGAAGGGATGCCCTCACCCCTCCTGTTTCTGAGGGGTCAGCCCTCATTGACCACTCCTTGGGCTGGCCATTGTGTGGGAGGCTGCCCTATCTTACGACTCTGACCATGTGAGGTCCCTGAAGGTGTGAAGGCATTTATTATAGAATCAGGCACTGTCACTTAAAGGAGGCTCCCAAGTCTCCTGAATAAAAGGCCAAAGTGAAACAGTACGTAGACTCTCTTTCTTAGGACGTCTGTTGAGGAGACTGGAGTGGAAGTGAGAGCTGCTTGGCTCCTTCAAATGCAGCCATTTGGAACCAGGGATGAGTTCCAAATGCAAACATGTTCCCTTCTAGAACTAGGATTACTTTGTCTCCCATAAGCTGGTCACGCTGCACTGTGTTTCAGGCCGCTTAACCCATTATGAGTACAAATGTCTTTTTGCTAAGTAGATGTGATACAAGAACTTGAACTAAACAGAAGCTCTCTCATTTTCCACTGTCTATCTCTGTCTGAGTGGCTAATGGTAACAACGACTAGCGCTGGTACGAATGCCCAAAGGCTGCACCATTATCTTGCTCCATGTTCTTTCCAGGGAAGAACAGAAAAACAGCTGCAGACAAAATACAATTTGGGCAACTTTTGTGCAGTCTCAATTTCTAATTTGTTTCATGAAGCTCCATGCACACTTCCTTGCTATATTACTAGGTAGCTTTGGTTTAGGAAAACGTGTATTTTCTCTTACCTTAAACTGCATGGTTAACTGAACACTATGTGTACTCAAGTGTATAAACAACTTGATTTCCTTACACCAAGGACAGTGAATTCACATATAACTGGGAAATATATGTATTGAGTAAAATATCAATAGGGAAAAGAGAAATTCTAATTAAAGTAAGGAGAGTGAATATAGTAAATGATTCATGGTCAAGGAGGATATGTAAAATGTTTAATTACCAGTATAGGATGGGCACCATCCAATCAGAAAGGATACCTGCCCAGCAAGAATGGAAGCCATCTTTAAATAACTGGTATAGTTGTCCCCCTACGTACCAGCTGAATATTAGCACATGGAACACATAATTCTTTGCGATGACACCTTTTACGATCTTTTGTTTCATCCACGAGTGACGATAAAATTGGCCTTCAATCACCCATCTGATAATTTTACAAACACATTATCATGGATGCTAAATATCTACCAGAGGGGGGAAACTGTCAATAAGAGAATCTAGAAATGTCTGAGAAATCATGATTCTGTTGGTTCATGAGCCCATTGCCTGTCCAGGTATGGATCTGTGGTGGTACCTGGGACAGAGGAGGGAGAAGTTAGTGAAGTTCACTGTGTGGAAACTCTTTCCAAAAAGAACACTAAATGTAAACATTTTCTAAAACTATGGATATTGTACCCAGTGTAACTAGGGTGCAGTGGATCTAGCTGAGAAAACACAAATCCTGACTCCCCGTGAAATACCGGGACATTAAGCAGTTTGTCCAATCCATAAGAATGCAGGCCGATCTTCAGTTTTACGGGGCAATAAAAACTGCAAATTCACAATTCTAAATACCTTCGTAAAAGACTCTTTACCTTCTAAACGTGCCAGAGTAGATAAGGAGCCTACACAACTCTCCTTTACCTTTCTTGGTTTCCACACCAGATCCCAGGGCGGCCGTGGTGGTTGGTCTGAGCTCGGAGCTGCTCTGTGGGGTCACATTTGCTTTGGCAGTGTTGGCCTTTCCTTTCTTGTCATTCTTAGAAGTGTCGCTGGGCACATCGGCTATGTCACTCTGGAACAGAAATGTTTATATTAACCCAAATGAATGCCACCTCGAGCTCAACTGTCTTGCGCATTCTCTGTTTTACTGAATCAAGTCTGTGCCACTCAACTTCTCCCCTTTAACTGTCTTAACAGATCTTTGCCTGGCAGGAGGGAACGTTATAGGATTTCCTCAGGCTTGAGGCAAAGGACGAAGCCAAGGAAAGAAGATGCAATTCCTTTACAAGCAGGGTGTAACTTCTCTTTTTCTAGCTGCTGGAGAGGTTGCTGCTTCCGCTCCAAACTGAGGAGTATTGTAAAGGGAACTTTACAAACAAAGAAACAAACAACACAAGTGTGCACTGAAATGGAAGAAGGTTGGATGCAAGACTGGTAAAATACAAAAAAAAAATCATAAATGTCAGTTTCACTCAGTTATTGAATTGAATTTGCTGGTATTTCAGTGTATCACAAAATCATCATGTATTTTAAACATTCCTAAAAGCATCATGGATGCTTTTCATTTAGTTTCTAGTGGGGCAAGGGTTCCCAGATGTAAGTCAAGCCATGGTGATTAAGTGGCTTCTTTAAGATGGTGGTCATATTTTACTAAATATGCTATACTCTCATTGACCCTTGAAACTATTTTGTTGAATTGATAAGTTCAGTTTCAAAAACCTTCTTCAAACTTGTGATATTAATATATTACTTTGTCTTACTCTTGTAATCACTGTTTAACAACTTTCTTCTATTTGGCTGCCTTTAATTGACTGTTGCTACTTACGGTTTCAATGCCCATAGCTCTCATTTGGTCTGCCCTCTTTTCCGTGATTGAAAGAAACTTCTTTGGATCTGATAAAGCATCCACAATATCTGGGGGGTGGGGGAGGGGGAAAGAACACTGAGCTGTTAATTCTCTGTTTTGCTGAAAATATCCAAGAAAATTCTGCTAATGCACTATCCAGAATCCTGGACCCCCATTATGCTCTCTAAGTTCTCTCTCCTAGGACATGACAAGTTCAGAGAGCACATCTAGTTGCAGAAAAGAAATAAGAAGGCAAGGATCTTGATGATTTTCTCAGATGATTTTTTCTTATTTTCCCTTCGTTTTTTTTTCCAAATTAAGAAGACTGTGGCAGAGTAAGCCACGTAAGCTGCCTTGGGTTCCTGACTGTTACTTCTGTGACCTTGAGTAAGTTGATTAATATCCCCAGTTTCTTCATCTGATAATTAGAACTGCTACTCTGCAGCCATACTTTGAGATTTCAGTGAGATGATGAAAGTCAAAAGTACTTGAAGCATAGCAGATGCCACTAGCTCTAAATCTGATTTTTAGATACAGGTTAATGCACATTTAAAGCTAATTTTGTCCCATGGTAGATAAACTGAAATATTTCTCCAGTAGTGTTGAGGCTATAATTTGCACTGAAAAACAGTAAAATTCCATCTTTTATATAACACCATTTGAAGAGATTCAAGTACTTTCAAACAGAATTTCATATAATTTTGCATAATTGACCAATACTATAGAAGGAATATTCTTGTTACCTTCAAACAGTACACAATTTACAAAATTTAAAATTATATGTTTATCAATTTCCCCCTAGCAGAATCACCTTCATAATTACATTCTCAAGATAATTTTTCTCAGTTTAAATTTTTTTCTTTTCCCTTTTATAACAGAAAATAACATATGCACATGACACGACAAACATTCAACTACATAAAATGCAAAGTAAAAATCTCCTCTCCTGCCAATTTTACATTCAGTAGCTAACTAGTGTTACCAATTTCTTATATCTTTATATATTTTTTAAAACTCCAAGTGGATCCATAGTTTTCTACACCTATTTTTTTATTTTTAAATTTCACATATCTTGGAAATACTTCCACTTCAGCAATGTAGACCTACAACATTACTTTTAAGGGCTGCTTCTATTCTATTTTCTCAGTGGCCATAATACATTTAACCAGTTCCTTATTGATACACTATTCGATTATTTCCAGTTCCTTGCTATTATAAACAGTGTTGCAGTGAACATCCTTGATCATCTCTCATAGGAGACCTCTGCATATGTCCACAGGATAAATTCCTAGAAGTTAGAATGATGGGTAAGGGTATTTGTCCTTTTTTGGGAGTTATTGCCAAATTGTCCTCCACAGAAGTTGCATCAATTTATTCTCCTACCAGTGATCTATGAAAAGGTTTCATTCTAGTTATCACTCATGTCCTTAAGCATTCTTTGCCTCATAATGGGGAATGTGGACAAATTAGCCCTTAAATCATGCGTAGGAAAAACCCACAGAGAATTATTTTTCAGAAATTAATATTCTAGGAATGTATGTTGTCTATTTTAAATCCTTATGACAATTTTCAAATACACACAAAAGTAGACAAAAAAGTAAAACAATCCCCTATATACTGATGGTGAAGACCCAACAATTGTAAACAGTCTGCCAACATTTCCTTTATCTATCCTACCTTTTCTCCTTTCTCTCTCTTCTCTCTCCTGAAATAGCTGAAGGCAAATTTCAGAAATCTTATTTCATTCCTAATTACTTCTCTATGCATCTCTAAAAAAAAAGGGCATTGTCTTTGGAACCAACTATACCGGTACTGTATCCAACAAAATTGGCAGAAACTCCTTGCGATGGTATATAATACATGGCTCACGCTGGTATTTCCCCTATTTACAGTTAGTCTGTTTGACTAAAGATTCAAAGTCTGCACCATGTCTCTGAAATCTATTTCATCTAGAATAGTTCCTCCTACTATTTATTTTTCATAATGCATAGACTTGTTGGAGAGAGAGAGATCAGGAGTCCTATAAAATGTCCCACATTCTGAATCTGTACGTTTCCTGCTGTATCATTTAACTCAAAAGCTTGACTTTCTCTTTTGCAAGAATACTGCATAGGAAGTGCTCTGACTTCATAGGGTCACATGGAGGCAGATAAAGCCTGTTTACCCCACTGTCGTGGTGCCAAACTCATCGGGTGGGCTCAGGACTTTTAGCCCATTTGTGACTGTTTCCCAAAGGCTTCCTCCTTCCACTTGTCCACACTGTTATGGGGAAAAGTGGAACTTAAATTGTGCACACGGATCTCTCCTGCCCTTTCCTGGAGAAGACCTATCGGGAAGCCCCCCAGGACACTCTCACATTGTACACACTCTGCCTCGGCTTCCCACTGGTACATTTCAGGGGTGACCCACAGGGCTGGCTTGTTAGGAAACAAATACTTGTTTATCTTTAATGATATACAATCAGTTTGGGGGTCTGAAGAGAGTATATGGCATTTTTGAAGGGTAACGGGTAGTCCATCCAGTAGGAAAAACAGATAACTTTTTTTTTTTAAAGATTTTTATTGGGGGAATGGGAACAGACAAGTTGCTGTCGTTTTGTTCTTCAGTCTAGTTGTGGAGGACGTTGCTTCACTGGCCCAAGTTGGCACCATCATTGCGCTCTTCCCGGGCGAGGCAGATCAGTCGCTGGCTTCTGGACGGCCGCTCCTGGCGGCTGCTGGCCACTCACGCTGGCTGCTGGCTACATACGGTAGCCCATGGCAACCCACTGCAGCAGGGGCTGCAGCCTACGCAGTCGCCGGCAACTCATGGCAGCCCAGCTCCAGGTTGAGCTGTTGTTCAGCATCTTAGCTGTAGAGGGCAGTGTCATTAGCCCTTATATGTGGGATCCGAACCGGGCCCCTCTGGCATCCCAAGCCAGCTCTTATCCATCGCGCCAGTCGGCCGGCCCAGATAATTTTTTAATCACTTAAAACCAATTATAAAACCAATAAAGCAAGATATTAAAGAATGAAATGGTCCATTTTCCTTCCATCCTAACCAAGCTTTCATTTTAGTATATTTTTATATAATTTTATCTATTACATATGAATACATATTTTATGTGGTTTCCTTAAAATTGTATCTGTATAGTTCTGAAAATTATCTTTAGTGCGTGGCTAATGTTCCACTGAGTTTATGTACCAAACTATTCCCTACTGCTCGATATATAGATGGGCTTTCAATTTTACTATAAAAGATGACTTTGCAAGAAATATCGTAGTGCAAAACATGATAAATACCATTGCTTAAATCTATTTTCAATTATCAATTCTAGAATTCTAGCTTATGTCCCCAGATTCTGAAATCCTGCCTTATTATTTGAGTTTAAATGAGATGCCTTAATTGCAGTTACATACTACCTTAAGATTTTTTTACAATATACAACATAATGGCATCCAATCATAATACAATATAATAGTGATCTTGAGCAAATGGCAACAAAAATACACAAAGTATAAATAAGGCTTGTTCAATTTAAATCACATGGTACAAAGAGAAGATTACAAAATGGCTAAATGCCTTAGACAAGGTTTATGTTAGCAGGTTATTTGCAATAGGTGCTTCATTCCTGGCAATTTTGAATAATAAATTAGACACATTCAGCACATATAATTTTCCATGTGACAGCAGGTGCTCATTCTGCAGCTAGAGTAATAGATCAATGCACAGGGCAGCACCTGTACACCTGGGATGTTTCCACCGGAAGTATTCAACCAAAGGAAAATGGGCTCAGGATTAGGGAGCCAAGGCCTATCCTCATATCTTTTATTTATTTTTTTATTTTATTTTATTTTATTTTTAGCTGAGCCATCCTGCCACCTGTTGGCAGCTCAGCTCGGGCCGGGACTCGAACCGCTGTTGCTCAGAGCTCACACTCTTGAGCGAGCTCTTAACTAACTGAGCCACTCGGCCAGCCCATGTCCTCATATCTTTTAGATGATTTTTCTACTGTGACCCAATTTTTCCTCTGGCCAGAGGCAGATACACCTTAGTTTTAAATATATACATTGTACACACACACACACACACACACACACACAGCTTCCTTACTTGATATGCAGTCTATATCAAATATGGAAACTGATTTTTAATTACATGTAAAATAATGTATAATCAGAGAATGAGCTTTATCTCAAATATCTCATACCTTTATATACTAGTATAACTCTTTGAAAATGTGACTTATTTTTTCCTTGCCTCAGCCCAGAAAAAAAGATTTTAGGAGCAGTTAAATACTTCTGGGATAGTGTTGGCCAAAGTTTTGCATATTCCAATAAACCTGGCATCTTACTTTGGTGCCATCTGACATTTCATAGGGCTTTTCCCCTCATGTGGGGGAACACTGTGGCTAGCTGTATCCCCCATATTTCAGCATTCCCCAGGACAAACCACTGTGGCAAGAGTAAATTTTAAAGGCAGATAACATTTACGAGTGCGTGAATAGGTCTGTCCAGGGACTAGCCACACTGAACATCTAACAATCTCTGACTCTACAGAACCCACAGGTGAGCTAACATTTTCTACATACTTAGAGGCCATGGCTCAAGCTCTGGAACCTTTCCTTTTTTTAAAAAAAAGAAAGCAATTTGATTTTTCTCACTTGCTTCTTCCTTCTGGACTTAATGGAAATTTTGCTTATTTGTATTTTTTTTTAATACCATCTATTTTGGGGTTTAGTGCCATGTCTAAAAGGCTAGTCTCTTCCGGTGAAGGCTTTCCATGTATATTCTATTTTCTCCTTCCTCTCTCTCACCCATCATTTCCATATGGACTTGAAAGCATCAATTAGGCTTTCCCAAGTCCTGAAAAGAAGAGAGAGATTCATCCCTTAGTACAGACTTCCTGATACTTATAAGCTTTTCAGAACTCTGGTTTTTGTTTGCTTGTTTGTTTAACCATTGCTTTGCAAGGCATTTGATTAGGGTGACTCAGTGGTGAGCACAAACCATGGCTCCTAGGACACTCCCCTCCCCTCCCCCATGTGCTTATTCCTGGCCCAGGTTTCCTCCCATTCCTTACTTTACTT